TGATGTGTGGATCATTTAGGATATTAATAGTTTAGCTGTTATAATGTGGTTCATAACATTTAGATAAAAGCCTTTTTTTTGTTATTTTTCTCTCAAATGAGTATTCACTCAATCTTGACATCTGACCTTGTTCTTTTTGAGAGTTGGAGATTAGCAATCTGCAATTTTGGATGAATTGGTTGATCTAGCTCATAAATTGAGCTGAATTAATTGTTAAATTTTTGGTTTTTGTCAGAAATTTGGGTGAATGGTCAAGACAAAATGACAGCATAAAAAGTTTTTTCTTGATAAAGGTATTAGGTGTATTCTTTTGCATGTATCCTATCACCTAATTGCCGTGTTGGGAAAGTTACTTTTGAAAGTAATGCATTACAATATTGAGTTACTCCCCAAAAAAGTAACTAATTGTGTTACTTAATTTCTTTTTATGGTAAATAATGTGTTACGTTACTTTTAAGTTACTTGTGTGGTACTTTTTATTACCAGGCTGAGGCTTTATCTCTTTCAGAACTTTTTTTTTCTTTCTTTCTGTCTTTATTGGTGGAGCTTTGCCAATGACAATGCACGTATAACCTACATTTACCTTTAAAACAGGGTCTCCGCGGGGTCTTAAAAAGTCTTAAAGTGTCTTAAATCTCAAAAACAAAATTTTAGGCTTTAAAAAAGTCTTACATTTACTGAAAAATTTTGTTGTAGGTCTTAAATCTTTTTTAAACAGGTCGAATTTTTCTTTGTTCATGTATAGCTACCCGATCTGGCCAACACCCATACATTTTTTTACTTTTTTACTTAATGTCATTTTTCACTCTGTTAACCATATTGGTTTACTTATCTACATTTACCACTACATTTAGTTTATTATAATTTGTAAAACCTTGAATTTTTTTATTTATTTATTTTTTATACTTTTAAGAAAGGCTATGTTAAAAAAATTATGTTTACAACTCGAGCTCGCTTGTTTTGACTATTTAAAATACTTTCCTCAGAATTAAAATAAATATATATCTTACATTTTTTTTATTATTATTATTGTATTATTACATTTATTAAATTATATACAAAAGTTTGATTAGGAAAATAAAAATATTTTCCGACTGGGCCATTGAAAAAATAAAACTCCCTAGCAATTAGCCCTGTATGAGTCTAAAAGTTCATTCATAATGGTCTTAATAATTCCTTACATTTACATAGCACTTTTCTAGATACTCAAAGCACTTTTATACAATGGGGGAATCTCCTCATCCACCACCAGTGTGTAGCATCCACCTGGATGATGTGACAGCAGCTATATTGCGCCAGACCACATACCAGCTTATTGGTGGAGAGGAGATAGAGGGATGAAACCAATTACGATATGGGGAGGGTTCGGAGCCCATGATGGACAGAGTGCTGGCAGTGGGCAAATTTTGGCCAGGATGCCAAACCCCTACTTTTTTTTTTTTTTTTTTTTTTTTTGATGAACATCCTGCGATTTCTAATGATCACAGAGTGTAAGGAACTCAGTTTAACATCTCGTTTGAGCAGTATAGAGTCCTCGTCACTATACTGGGGCATTAGGCCCCCTGTCGGCCTCACTCACTCTATTTCCGGCAGCAACCTAGCTTTCTCATGTGGTCTCCCATCCAGGTACTGACCGGGTGCATTCCTGCTTGGTTTCAGTGACCAACCTTGTAAGAGTTGCAGTGAGCTAGCTGCCATTTTAAAATGTTTTTAAAGGTCTTAAGTTTAGCTTGCTAAAACCTGCAGAAACCCTGCAAAAAATACATCAAAAAATATTTTAGGATAATGTTGTCTGAGAACACTCTGACCCCAAAGCTCTACAAGCCTTGGATACAGATTATTGAAAGTTTAAAGCAATTTGTTTGCTACTTTTGTGCTATTTTTCTTAAGTAAAATCACTGTCCATTGAGACAATTAATCCACTTTTCATTTTCTTTGATGCGTTCACAATAAACACATTCTCTCATTGACTGCGTGATTCATTTTGACTACTTTAATTTTAATTCAGTAATTTATTTTTTGAAGAGCTCATTACTTAAATAAAAAGTACTTGTAATGTGTTACCCCCAACACTGCCTAATTGGTTAGTCTAGTTCATGAAACCACATTATCAAACCAGACTGAATTGTTCGTTCACAAATCTGTCTTCCTAATTCCTGTCAGTAGTTTAGTTAATTTTGCCCTCCAGCAAATATGTTTTTCTGGTTAAAAGTCTTATAAGTGAATGTTTTTTTTAGTGAACTGTTTGTTCCAGCTCACAAATTCAGGCTTTATCATTCATTCTCAACTAATCTGTCTCTCCTAAAAGAGTAAATGATGACAAAATGATAACAAATTCTGATTGGTACTTTTCCTCACAGTTAGTGGTATACTTACTTGCCCATTATGTTTCATTTTTACATCTACTGAATCATCTAAAGCAAAAGATAGTGTTGCATTATGTGATGATTCTCATGCGCAGCCAATAGACGCCACCGTTGAGGCATTACATTTCCAGAACAAAGACCTGAAACTGAAGCGTCCTCAAACTTGAACGCTATTCTTCAGCTATCTTACAAGCCCTGGCATTTCCTTCAGGAAATGCTAATGTGGTTTCTCCTCAACACCCTATTATTGTCTCTCCCTCTCAATCTCCCTCATTTCTCTTCCTCTCTCCCACCCTCTGTTTTGCCTAAGCACTGTAAAGCCTCGGTCGGCAATGTTTCCGTGAGCCTCCCCCCCCCTTAGCAGGCTTATTTACACCAGTGTTTAATAGCCTGGGGGAGTGCATGAGCTACGATGACATGCTAGAATGACTCCGAGTGCATTTCTTAACAAGCTGCTGAGAGAATAGCGGAGAGTGGGAGGCTGGAAAACGCCAAGAGAAAAGGGAGAGAGAGAAAAAAAGACATGTGTTTTTGCCCCCAAAGCACTTGTCTGTGGATGCTTAGACTGCGAGGAACGCCGAGGCGAATGATTATACGCTGCCTACAATTAAACACGCCGTTTGCCAAGGTGTTTAAAAGTTGACCTACTATTTACCCTGCTAATAAAACGAGAAGTCGTTGGGAATAATTAGAGCAAATTGCTGTAATTACCAGTGGAGTTAAAAAATGATTGATGTAATATGCATAGACAGATCTGGAGCGGGGTGTGTGTGCATGTGTGTGTGGTACTTACTATGTAATGAGGACCAAATGGTTGAAATTCATCAATAATAGTAATAACAACAGTCATTTTGTTTCAGGGTTCCTACGGTTCATGTAATTTTGGTAATATCATGGAATTTCTAATAGTCTATTACATGCATTGAAAGTCATTAATTCGTTCATTTTCTTTCAGCTTAGTCTCTATTTCAGAAATCGCCACAGCGGAATGAACCGCCAACTATTCTGGCGTATGTTTTAGGAAGCGTATGCCCTTTCCAGCCGCAACCCAGTAATGGGAAACAACTATACACACTCCTACGCTACAGACCATTTATTTTACCAAATTCCCCTATAGGTCATGTTTACTGTTGAGGAAACCCACGCAAACATAGGGAGAACATGCAAACTCCACAGAGAAATGCCAACTGGTCCAGCCGGGACTTGAACCAGCGACCTCTTTGTTGTGAGGCGACAGTGTTAACCACTGAACCACTGTGTCGCCATCACAGCAAATATTATATTCAGCAAAAGAGAGGGAATGTTTCATATTCTTTAATAAAAATGGAAGGATGCAGTTATGTTATAGGCTTTGTTTTGTTATAAATATGCATACAGTGAAGATGACGGTCATATAAATATGTAGCTACATGACGCCTCAACATTTTTAGTGTCTTTTACTTGTTAATACCAAAATGAAAACAGGAAGTTCATTATATATCATGTTTTCATTTTATTGTTAAGCTAGTGAAACAACGTAGCCAGGGTGATGTGAATGGCTTTATAAAGTACATTGTTTCCTTTCAAGATTTTTCTGATGTGTCTTCAGACGTTTGTTTTTATATCAAACTTGCGAAGTCTGAACTTAAAGAAAAGGGCGCAAGACTGAACTTTGTGCATTTAATTTCTTTTACTAAAGAAGAACCATATCAAAACTCATGCATTTCAAAATTAAAACGTCTTAGTGTAAATGGGGCCTCAGTTTAGCCACAATAAAGTCAAAGTTTAATAGTTGCTCGTGTTTTTTAAGGCCTGTGTAAACATTTTAAGCCAGTTTAAAGCATTTGGGCACAAGGAATTATGACGTTTTAGCTTTAACAAAGATTATTCATTCAATCATTCATTCATTTTCGGCTTAGTCCCTCTATCAATCCGGGGTCGCCACAGCGGAATAAAGCCAACTTATCCAGCACATTCTGCGCAGTGGATGCTGTTCCAGCTGCAACCCATCTCTGGGAAACATCCACACACACTCATTCACACTCGTACACTACGGACAATTTAGCCTACCCAATTCACCTGTACCGCATGTCTTTGGACTGTGGGAGAAACCGGAGCACCCCGAGGAAACCCACGCAAACACAGGGAGATTAGCAAAAATTAATTGTATTTAATTATTTACACAATGAAGAATATACAGCTTTATTGTACATTTATTTTATTTCTGTACTTGTATATTTTTAGACTCCTTCATTCCTATATTTGCTCTAATTTGTATATATCTCCCTGTAATTTGTTCATTATATATATTTTATGCACTCCCTTACAAAATCATCCCAATCAACTGAAAATTAATTAAGTTATTTTGTGGAAAAAATGCAATATAAATCGCTAAAAATTTTAATATTGCTATGTAAGTTTTTTTTTTCCAATATCAGGCAGCCCTAATTTGTATTTTTACTTGTCCCTATGAAGGAAACGGCTCATTAGTCATACAGAATGAAGTGTTCTGGAAATATAAAACTGCAAAATAGTTTCTGTGAGAGTTTTAGAGGAGGAAAAATATGGCCTGTGTAGTATAAAAATCATTACGTATAAAAATAGTGCACATAAAACATGAAATCCTAATGTGTATTTATTTTTTGTGTGTTTCAGACATACCACTCAGTGCAAGACGTGCTGGTGTCTTTCGGCAGGAGGACTTTGTGTTACCCGCTCTATCGGCACTTTTCCCTGGTCACATTAGCAGTGAAAGACGCAGCATGCATTTTTCAGGCTGGTGAGTTCTGTCCGTCTTTCTTTATTTTCCAGACTTCTTAGCCATTTCCAAGCCACCAAAGTATGGGGTTGAGGGTCAAGACTAAATGCGTGACCTGTCCCTCACCCTATAAACCCTGCAGTGCTTCCACCTCATTACGAGGATCCCTGCTGCCCTTACAATGAGAGCAAGCAGATCTCTTTCAATTTCTTACATCTGTGGAAGCAGGTTTCTTCGAACTATGAGATGAACTTTTGTACATCGCTTGAAACCAACATGAAGTCTGTCTTGATTTGTTGATGCATGTGTCTGATCTTTGTGGTCTTTACATTTTTAATATCCAATAACTTTTTAAAACATTGCTTTAAACCTATGGTACATGCAATCTTTCTGAAAATAGCTAGTTTTTTTTGTTTAACAGGATAAAAACGTTGAACTTTGGAGATTTTTAAAAATGAACTTCACTTTTAGCTTTGTCTTTTTTTTCCTCACAAAGGTATTGTAAATAATCGAGGGTATGTCAGCATTTATTATTCTAAATCTAAATCTCAGCATTTACTAATAAATATTGAAGATCAAAAGTAACATTTGTGAGCCACAAACATTTAATGTTAGTTAATATTCAGCGGCCACTTTATTAGGTACAGCTGTCCAACTGCTCATTAACACAAATTTCTAATCAGCCAATCACACTGCAGCAACTCAATGCGTTTAGGCATGTAGACATGGTCAAGACGATCTGCTGCAGTTCAAAACGAGCATCAGAATGGAGAATAAAGGTGATTCAAGGTGATTTACTTTGAATGCGGCATGGTTGTTGGTGCCAGATGGGCTGGTGTGAGTATTTCAGAAACTGATGATTTACTGGGATTTTCACACATCTCTAGTGTTTACTGAGAATTAACCGAAAAAGAGAAATTATCCAGTAAGTGGCAGTGGAAACGGAGATTCACATCATTGATATGCAGCCGACAAATCTGCAGCAACTGTGTGATGCTATCCTGTCAATATTGACCAAAATCTTTGAGGAATATTTCCTGTTGCTTGTTTTCTATGACACAAAGGATTAAGGCAGTTCTGAAGGCAAAAGGGGCTCCAACCCGGTAATAGTAAGGTGTACCTAATAAAGTGGCCAGTGAGTGTACATTTTGGAAATTAAAAAAATAGCATTTTCATTAACTAACCTTAACAAATGATAATAAATACTATAAATAAATCCTGTTTATTACTATTTATTTAGTTTAATACATTTTAACAGAAATTTTAACTAAAACGTTAAAATATGGATTAGTATTAAATGTAGTATAAAATTATATAAATAATCAAGTTTTGTATTATCTATCTATCTAGTCTTATCTAAAATCTAGTCCCCTTCCTCAGTTCCTGTTCTCTGTAAATCTTGGAAAAACATTGCATTATAGAAGTGTAAATCCTATATCATTTTGACTTTTAAGAGACTAACAGAAACAGGAACTTGACACAGTCAGCCTAAATTTACCCACAGCAGACAGAGTTGCTCACTCGGGACCAAAGTTAACACTTGTTCACCGGCCCTCCCCGAACAGCAGGGGCCTTCGGTAAAAGACATTTTCCATGACAGGAGAGTCAACAGATTGGTCATGTCTCGGTGTGCTTAGTCTTGCTGTTCTGTCAGCGTCAGTGGGAGGGAGGTTAAGAGCGAGGGAATCCGAGAGGGATGTCTCCGCACTTCTGAAGAAATCAGCAATTCTGCAGACTAGACACTGTTGCCTTTGATATCTCTGAGAGAGGAGCAACCTTTAAATCAAAGAAGCCATCTGTGGGAGAGACAGTAGCGCTGTGTAAACACGTTTTCGGGCGTGTGTGGTAAGATTATCCAACACATGTTGATTTTGGAGCTCATAAATAAGTGCAATTAAAATGGCTCGGAAGGTTTGGGATTAGCGAGGTATGGTTGATTTTGAGAAGGGAAGTATAAGTAGAGTTGGCAAAATCACACACTTCAGCAGTTCATTTGTGCTGTCAATATGTATTTATGGAAGATTCCATTTGCATCACATTTTGTTCACTGAGGAAAAAATATTTGTATGTTCCGGGACTGTTTTTTACTTGTGCAAAGTTGCCGGCTGCTGTAACGTGAATGAAAATGAAGACCTTTCAGATATAGGCCAAAAACTTGCCAGTATAATGTTTGTGAGATGAGATGTTTTTATTTTTTGTGTGCTTTAAAGGTGCAAGTTTAAGGCCCCTATCATACACCCAGTGCAAGACGTGTTTGCTGCGATGTGTTTCTATTTTCAGACCAGCACAACAGTAATTTTCCCACTTTGCGCTGCATTGTTTAAATAGCAAATCCATTTGCGCTACTTTGTGGACTCATGGGTGTGTCGGTCTAGAAGAGAGGTGTGTGAAGGTGCGTTGTTGACGTAGGGCTATTTTGAAGAACTAAAGTAGACTGTGCAATAGACCAGCTGAAAGCAGGACTAAAGTCCAGCGCAAAGCTCGTTAGTTGTGCGCCTTAAACGCTTACACATTGCTTAATACACACAGAATGTACAGCAATACACAAATATATTTACAAATGAAAAAGAAATTGTTATTTTCTACATAAATATAAAAAACCACCGCCTCCATTCCTTCTTCATCTCTGGTGTCTTTTTTCAGTTTATTTATGACAATTTGCATTTTGTAAAATGTAATTATTATTAGCAGTATTATTTATACTTTTTATTTTTATTTATGTTTTTTTAATTATAACAAGCTTAGATTTGTCCACCTTTCAGATTTTGGACCATATGGGGCATAGCATATGTGTTTGGATATACAACTCAATTTTTGACCACACGGAATAAGTCCTTAAAATAGCAAAAGTGGATTCGGACGACTTTGCGCCTAGATCATTAAAATAGAGCCCTAAATGTAAGTTTGGCACCCAGTGGTTGAGCTAGGTATTGCATTGCTGGATCAAAACACACAAGCGCAGGTTGCCAGATTGAGGAACAGCAGAAGCGAGCCTGACTATAATGCCATTTATTGCCATATTACTAAAAGCAGCAGATAGATTACCTTAGATCTTGAAAATAAAATAAACCTTTTGAAATTGAACTTTAGACTCAAAACCAACACATATCAGTGATTCAGCATCTACAAAGAATAATGCTAAAGAGGTTTAATATGTATTAATTAGATTATAAGTCTTTTCATTTCATGAGTGAGTGCATATTCTGTGCTTTTGAATGGCTGTATTTAATTTTTTGTCTTGTTTCGTTTGGTGAAAAAAAGCCAAATCGCTGCAAATCTCGTCACGTATTGTGTATTGTTAGGACATCGGGTTACAATGTAACCTGCTCACCTAATTTTTACACTCGTAATATTTATATTATTTGCTAATTAGTAACCTCATGTGGAAATTTGAATCTGCATCTCATTTTGGAGTCTGGTACTGTCCACCGGAGCATTTTGGTTACAGGCTAATGCTTTGAGAGTCTTTCTGACTGAATGAATGTAATACATGGTTTTCCAACAAGGCAATCCGGGGTGCTGAAATATAATTGGCTAAACTAGTAGTGGGCGGGTTAAAAGAATCAAAACAAAGACACCTTTTCGGCACTGAATGCACATTTTCAAAGCAAAATATCTGACTTTAGCATTGTTTTTCAGATTAACAAGAATGTTCACTTAGCATGTCTTAAATATCTGCAAACATATTATGGTGTTTTTATGATTTAGAAGAGTCAAAAACTTACATACAGCACCTTTACCTATTAATTAGAGGAAGGTATGCTAGTATTCGCTCACTTTGAATTGTGGTTTTTACATGGCGATCTCTCACACCAAAGGACATCAAACCAGAATTTTATTGTTTGAATTTTTAGATCAAAACGACAGAATTTTTAATTGAAAAGGTATACAGGCTGGAGATTATTTTTGCATCAAATAGGTCTAAAATCGTAAAAAAATTAATCATGGGGTTTAAAAATCAGTGTTAATACAAGTGAAGATGTATATACAATAAAACTCTAAATTTCAAACATGGATTTATAAAGAACCATGGATTAATGGATTAATAAGACCCTAATATTATAAACGATCGAGCCAAATGGAAATGAATAAACACATTATTTCATGCTAACTGTTACATTGAATCCTTGGGAATGCAATTTCATGCTGTCTTTTTTATATAAAGATTCTATTAACCACAGATATTTGAAAGTTGGACCTTCACATTTAATAAAAATAGATATGCATGCATTTAAATATACAGTAAATGATTCATTGATCTCTGAGAGCTCTCAGCCCACAGACTGTTAGTTGAACATCTGATGAATACTGTATGGCACACAAATTTGGAAACGCTTCAGGAGTTTTGAAATCATCATCTAATTGGATAAATTTTACCGGATTTCTTTTAAACAAGTGTCTCATTCTTTAATGGTCTGCCTAGAAACAAATCTGTCGTGACAGCAAACCCCTTCATATCGAAGAAGAAAGCTGTCATGTTCACAACTGATGATTAGGGCTTAAAATAATCAGCTATATGCTGGGTTTTCAGAAGTATATCTGGAATACTATTGCATATTTTTTTCTCCGATTTGTAAAGCCTCTGTCATATGTACATTACACAAGCGGTAGAGTATGGATGCCAGCAAAATACATTCATGCATAGTGAGCATGAATTGAATTGTCTTGTATGATGCGTTTTAGGCTGTATATATAATTTTTCTTTAACATAATAAAAACACCAGTCTGGTATTTCTTAAAATGCCATTTTAAAAGGTAAGTGGAGTAGAGTAAACAGTACCTAAATGTCAGTCATACCCTAGTCAATTAAAGCTGCAAAGGAGTCCAGATCTTTCAATGTGAGTCTAAAAATCTAACAATGAAAAACAGTTGTGTGACATTTGCAATAAATACACACTTCACTCTGTCCAGAAGTCTTATTTTCAGCAAAGTTTGGTATATTAATGTGACTATGCAGGGTGACTACTAATGGTAAGCTATGTTCAACTGTACAATGCATCCGGAAAGTATTCATATAACTT